TAATTGCGAGAAAGCGATTAGGGTAGCTTGATATGGCATATACATAAACAGTTGAATTGATAGGTTGGCTGTTGCCAAATTGACTGCAATAATTCGCCGGTGAGTCGGGAGAGAGTGTGTTCCCCATTTTAATGAACTTTTTCTGTCAACCCAGTGCCTTTAGCTTCACATCCACAACGTTGTTCATATTATGTTAAAAATCTCGATTTTTGAGTTCCATTAGTTACTTGGAAGAGTAGCATTCAACCAAGTAAGCGAGGCGCAGGGTATGGTTGCGGAGATACCTCCAGACTTCTAATTTTAGAACTATAGTTGCACATTTATCCATTCTCTGTAAGAAAAAGCGTAGCAGGGCTCCTTGAACCGAAAACTTGCATGAGACATCCAATGCCAGTTATTGATTTAAGGCGTTCATTTTGGGCTCTCAGACACCCAGTACGACCAAAGTCCGTATGGATATACGGTGGAGGTAGGAGAGAACGGCTGAGTTTATTTGAGTGGGTCCAACAACAGGTAAATTGCTATTAAGGCAGAACTAAGACTTCATGTTGAGGTTGTCTTCCTGTTCAATATGCTCAGAAAACGACCTACGCTCAAAAGAGGAATGAACCAGTGCCCTGAATAACGAGTTCATTCGACAAGGGAAGTTGGAGTCATTGTACCACAAGCAAAACCTCACATTACGCAAGACAAATTAAACATAAAAAAGTCTGTCTTGAATAAACTAATTACCATAACGCCTACGTTTGTTTTAAGGTCTTCTTGACCATTTTCTTTTCTTGAAAATCACTCACCCACAAGCACAGCTCCTAGTGTTTCGAATATACTGGCCATTATATAGGCCTGTATTATCGTCAGCACTCCACTGCCCACTGAAGTACCGAAAGCATTCGCCACGTCGTTGCCACCCATTGCAACTCCAAGAAGGAAAGCCAAAATCACTCCAACGATTAACGCCCATAACACGGAATGCTGGAAGAGAAGCATTGCATTAAGTTTAATCAAATCAGTCCTATGAAGAACTATAAAGAAGATCTTCAAACTTTTTACGGATGCTGTAATATTTACTGAAAACATAAACAAAGCCAAAAAAGATCAAGATGGCTGATACAGTTAGGAAGCTCTCCTGAGCAGTCAAGACTCCATCAAGTTAACATCAAGGAGCGCTTTATAATCGCAGAATTACTGTAACCGTTAATTTAAAACTAAGTTTCGCAGAAAACTTTGCCACTTCAGTTTCACCTAGCAGAACACTGAAGTCAACTAACTAAAAGCCAACTCCTAACAGTTTCTTGGATTTTCTCAATTGCAGGGTCTAACTTAATGCGATTGCCCCTCAATAAGTGGTCTCCATTGGTAGGGCCAGAATTTTGCGTCCAGTTTTTATGTTTATGACTAATACTTATCATAATGAAATTAAATGACAAACAGTGGGAGGAAATCATGTGCGTGTCAGACGGATGCCTGATAAAGGCGGCTTATACAAGACGGATTTTGAAGTCAGGTGAACGTGTGATACAGTAACATCAGTGGTCAAACTCAATGGAGTTACTGTATCATACAATCACGGAACTTCAAAATCCATCTTGTATGACCTTTCGCTAAAATTTTGTGGCGTTTTCTTTGTCCTTCCGTTGAATATTCAACGCATACAGCATGCCGCAAAGTATTGTGTTCTAAAACCACCCCCAATGCCGATTCACAACATACTAGAGGCGTTCCGGTACTTATAAATCTTTGTAGTTGGTAAGCATGTTGAGTTAAGGCTTTTCACGGTAAGGAGTCCATGTGTCCATGGCCCATATATGATCAAAAACGAGGTAGTTACGTAGAAGAGGACTCAATGAAAGAAACTTGATGGGTCATATTGAAAGAGGGAGAGATACCAGATTTATAATATCAGGAAGAGACCTTCATATATAGTAGCATACTAACTTCAGGCGATTCATTTGGGTCAATGTTGGCAAAACTTTTTCATCCTTAACTTTTAATATGTAGAAGAGCTGTAGAGCGGCTTCAAAAATTCTGCTTCCGCTCAAGGCTTTCCCCAAAATCAATCGATGAACATTCTCAGAGTCCGAAAGTGCAATCAGCTAGACACTACGTAGTGCATTTGCCATGGAATTTCTGGTCGGTGTGATCAAATAACTCAATGAGTGCAAGCTACTCTCATGTTCCTTTCATATTTCCTCTAGCACTTCAGTTAATGAGAAACCAGTGAAAACAAAGTTACTCGGAACGAACGACATTCTTCCCTAGACACCAATAACCTCAATGTTCTGGAAATCTGTTTACAGTACCTGGTCGAAAGATGTCATCGTTTCCATAGTGGAAGTGATGAAATCCATATTCTGAAAAACTGCAATTTATTCAATTCTCTTCCTACATGGGCTCATGTTTTTCGTGAGGACGTAAAAAGCGATTAGTAATGATGATGAGAAGTTTTTTGGAAACGAAAGCAATTCTGACTAAGCAGTAAAAGACATTGAAGAAATTGTTCTGTTCACTGAATGAGGTAGACATGAAATCTCAACTTTTTCTAACTGCCTCAGAACTGTAGAATTGTGATGCTCAAAAATGAGACATTTCAAGAAAAACCTTTCATGAGCCCTTTGACCATGGCAATATGAAGAGATGATCAGCCACAAAATTACTGCATGCTGTTCATCCAAACTACTGGATGCTCACCTTAGATTCTTTTGTT